CAGTGGTGCTACAAACCTACACTGGACTACAACATTTATCGTAAGTGACCCAACAGTGGTGCTACAAACCTACACTGGACTACAACATTTATCGTAAGTGACACAGCAGTGGTGCTACAAAACTAGACTGGAATGAACTAGAACATGGTGGAAGCTATCCAAAACCCAAACCAGTAAAACAAGACAGATTTGTATAACACACTCCGTTAACGATCCCATATCCAAACCTATTATAACTAGATCGACACTCGACTAAAACAAAAGCACTATAAAACTCGACTGGAATACACCAACCCATGACTTCAGCGACTCTATACGCACAACAATATAATTGTAGATGCAGAAAGCTAAACAAAGTAGATATTTAATACACCGTATGGCCATTGATTACACCGTATGACCATTTACTACACCGTATGACCATTTACTACACCGTATGGCCATTTACTACACCGTGCGACCATTTACTACACCGTATGGCCATTTACTACACCGTATGGCCATTTACTACACCGCATGGACATTTACTACACCGTATGGCCATTTACTACACCGTATGACCATTTACTACACCGTATGGCCATTTACTACGCCGTATGGCCATTTTATAAAACTTATGGCCATTTACTACACCGTATGGCCATTTACTACCCCGCACGACCATTTACTACCCCGCACGACCATTTACTACCCCGCACGACCATTTACTACCCCGCACGACCATTTACTACCCCGCACGACCATTTACTACACCGTATGGCCATCTACTACACCGCATGGACATTTACTACACCATATGGTCATTTACTACACCGTATGACCATTTACTACACCGTATGGCCATTTACTACACCGCATAGCCATTTATTACACCGCATGGCCATTTACTACACCGTGTGGCCATTTACTACACCGTATGGCCATTTACTACACCGTTAGGCCATTTACTACACCGCATGGCCATTTACTATATCGTATGGTCATTTACTACTACACCGCATGGCTATTTACTACACCGTATGACCATCTACTACTCCGTATGGCCATTTACTACACCGTAAGGCCATTTACTACACCGCATGGCCATTTACTATATCGTATGGTCATTTACTACACCGTATGACCATTTACTGCACCGTATGGCCATTTACTACACCGCACAACCATTTACTACACCGCACGACCATTTACTACACCGTATGGCCATTTTATAAAACATATGGCCATCTCCTACACCGCATGGCCATTTTGTACACTGCATAGCCATTTATTACACCGCATGGCCATTTTATAAAACATATGGCCATCTCCTACACCGCATGGCCATTTTGTACACAGCATAGCCATTTATTACACCGCATGGCCATTTTATAAAACATATGGCCATCTCCTACACCGCATGGCCATTTTGTACACAGCATAGCCATTTATTACACCGCATGGCCATTTACTACACCTTGTGGCCATTTTCTACACCGTATGGCCATTTACTACACCGAACGACCATTTACTACACCGCACGACCATTTACTACACCGAATGGCCATTTACTATATCGTATGGTCATTTACTACACCGTATGACCATTTACTGCACCGTATGGCCATTTACTACACCGCACAACCATTTACTACACCGCACGACCATTTACTACACCGAATGGCCATTTTATAAAACATATGGCCATTTCCTACACCGCATGGCCATTTTGTACACAGCATAGCCATTTATTACACCGCATGGCCATTTTATAAAACATATGGCCATCTCCTACACCGCATGGCCATTTTGTACACCGCATAGCCATTTATTACACCGCATTGCCATTTTATAAAACATATGGCCATCTCCTACACCGCATGGCCATTTTGTACACCGCATAGCAATTTATTACACCGCATGGCCATTTACTACACCGTGTGGCCATTTACTACACCGTATGGCCATTTAGTACACCGTATGGCCATTTGCTACACCGCACGGCCATTTCCTACACCGCACGGCCATTTATTACACCGCATGGCCATTTTATAAAACATATGGCCATCTCCTACACCGCATGGCCATTTTGTACACCGCATAGCCATTTATTACACCGCATGGCCATTTACTACACCTTGTGGCCATTTACTACACCGTATGGCCATTTACTACACCGTTAGGCCATTTACTACACCGCATGGCCATTTACTATACCGTATGGTCAATTACTACTACACCGCATGGCTATTTACTACACCGTATGACCATCTACTACACCGTATGGCCATTTACTACACCGTATGGTCATTTACTACACCGTATGACCATTTACTGCACCGTATGGCCATTTACTACATCGTATGGTCATTTACTACACCGTATGACCATTTACTACACTGCATGGCCATTTACTATACCGCATGGCCATTTACTACACCGCATGGCCATTTACTACACCCTATGGTCATTTACTACAACGCATTGACATTTTATAAAACGCATTGACATTTTATAAAACGTATGGCCATTTACTACACCGCATGGCCATTTTGTACACCGCATAGCCATTTATTACACCGCATTGCCATTTACTACACTGGGATGAAGGGCTACTAAGTTTGTTTAACTGAATGACCTTGACAACATATATTCAATGTCACAGGGGTCAAATATGTTTAAAACATTTAAACAACTTATGAATAACCCAAAGGCATAGGGTGCTTAAATTTGGCCAGTAACATCCTGGGATGAAGGGCTACTTAGTTTGTTCAAGGTCACATGTATCAAATATGAATGACTTCTTCTTAATAATCAAAAGGTCAAGGGTGATGATATTTGGCCATTAACATGCTGGGATGAAGGGCTACCAAGTTTGTTCAAATGAATGACCTTCGCCCATAGTCAAAGTCACAGTGGTCAATATATGTTTAAATCTTTAAATGGTTTGTTCTGTATAACCAAAAGGTCCAGGGTAATGATATTTTGCTAGAAGCATGCTGGATTGGAAGACTATACACTCTGTTCAACCTTATGTACTTGTTCGAAATTCAAGGTCACGGGCGTCATATGTTTAAATCTTTTAATAGGTTCTTATGAATCAAACACGGATATTCTGCCTGTAGTTGTATTTTAGTCCACTTTTAAGATTACAAGTGTGAGATTAATACCAGGTGAGTAATTCAGGCCCATCGGGCCTCTTGTTTTATATCTTCTCGCTCACCTTTCTTATATATACAAATTAAACCTGGTTTAATGTAATTTATGAATGTCCTAGTAATACTTTGTTTTTTATTATGTTTCAATATCATGAATGTTAAAGTACTGTATTTGTTGTATCTATGATTGATATGAGCGGACGCTGACCATTAGTAGGAGGTGAGAAGGTCAAAAGTCGTATGAATTTGTGGCTATTTTTAGCACCCTATATAAGTATGTGCACTAGCTGACCCTAGGTCACTAGCCTGCTGAAGATGATGGAGGAACAAGGTGTGTACCTTCTTTTTACATCATGATCTAATTTTGAAAAATATCTAAGTGAATTTTATTACGTATTGTTTACGTGTAATATTTTCAAAATTTGATGTAATGGCGAACGTGGTGATTATTGGACATAGTTTTGTCAAACGCCTTGACCGCGCGCTCGAAGGTTCATGGACGAACCTCGGTTTTCATGATGACCCTACAAACATTGTAGTATCGTGTGTAGGTAAAAGCGGGGGTAGATTACCCGATGTTTATGCCCGTGAAGTGACTGATCGTTTACGAGAACAAATTGCGGATTTAGTTTTATTGCAAATTGGTGGCAATGATTTAGATTGTTCACGGATCGAGGACGCCAAAGATTCTATCGTGAACAATTTACTGTCCATTGTCGAGTGGCTCGCCTCGGGACTATCAGTAGTCCGGATCGGAATACTACAGCTGTTTTATCGTCGTAGTACGAGACACGTTTCAGTTCATAAGTATAATGAGGCCGTGGACTACGTTAATTCCGCTTTGAAAGCGAAATGTAAAACATTGAACTTCTGTTTTTTCTGGCGCCATAAAGGCTTAAAAGATGGCGTCTTTCCTCATCTTTCTCACGACGGGGTTCATTTGAACACCACGGGCATGCGTAGATACATTCTCTCGGTCAGAGGAGCTGCCTTATATGGATTACGAAACGCCAGTGGGCGTGTCTAAGCTTTCCGTATATGGTAAGACATGAATAGGTAATTTCAGGATGTTTACAATAATATCTAGCTATACGCATGCTCTACTCTATTCGGTTCCGGTTCGTCTCAAGGCATGGCCTGTTTATCTGTCGCTGCCTGGTTTACCTGTCAACTTATGGCCTTGTGGTAACGATATCGTACGATACAAACAAATTTCTTCCAAGTCGGGTGATATTTCTCTAATATCCCGGTACAAATAATCGTTTACGCAGTGTATATATTATATATGTATTAGAAACTTATTCGTTTAATTAAGGGGAGGTCATTCGCGCGATGATCAACACAACACCCGTTGTATGCGCGGTTAAAAATCACAACTCTATCAACACAGTTCCGCGTTGAGGACAGCTCCATGCTTTAGCACAGAATTATGGCTTATATAATGTGATTATGAAATTATTTATTGACTTGAAATTGTCTTTCAATAACATTATTTCCGCTTGTTTACTGATTCATGCGGTATATAATTCATATCAGTTGATCATATGTTGTTCAGATTTCCACCTATGGCGGCTATGCCTGATATTTGTTTCAGGCCTATACCCAGGATGTTATATATTTATCCCGAGGGTATGCCTGAAGATTTATGTACATTTGTTGAATCCAAAACAATTTCAGGTTAATAACCTATGATAGTAATACACCTGTTACACAACTGGTCGAACCCGGGGGCATGCCGGGGGTTGTTCAATGACCTTACCAGTTAGTGTTTATATTGTGAAACATGGCCATGCAAATGGTTATGCCGGGGGTATGCCCGGGTATGATATTTTAAAATCTCTATCATATTTTCACATATTATGCCGGGGGTATGCCCGGGGTTTTTAATACTGTTCAACTATTATGCCGGGGGTATGCCCGGAGTTTTCTGCCATTGCAGGTTATGCTGAGGGTATGCTCAGGTCAAATACTATTTTCACTATTATCCCGGGGGAATGCCCGGTAGTGTGTTCAAAAGTGAATACAACTTTGTTTGGGGGATGCTCATGAATTGATGTTCATGATAATATGTCTGCCTTCACTGGTTTGACCAGGCTTATATACCCAGGATTTAATATAAATATCCCAAGAGTATACCTGTAGATTTATGGGAATTTGTTGACGATTCCTAATGCCCATACCTAGGCACAAATGCAGGCTACTTTTATCTTCCTTAAGTATACCTCTTTAAGGGGGCATCAGTCACTACCTTGTTCGTTTCTTTTCCAGACATTAATCATCAAGGCCCAATTCGGCGAACTCGGCGTAGGGCGGCACAACAACATTCATTGGTGACACCACCCACACATACTGAAGACACAAGTGTGCCTAGCACAACAACAGCTAGGAGGGGACGCCGGCCGGTTGTCCGACAAACACCTCCACCAGTTCCATCAACTCTGAGTTCATCTGCACTTTCAACAAATAACAACATATCAATACCTGAGTTGGCAGCGGAGCTGTTTCAATATATGAGGCAGGCAGGTTTTACCATACAATCCCCTGCCGTACAAACCGTGCCTGCAGAGATACCCTCTGCTTCCGGGTCAGCTGACTGCCCTCCAGTGGACAGCACCTTATTTTTAAGACCAGCTACCACCAATGCCACACCCTCTGTGTCTGGAGGGGGATTGAACCAGAGTCATATGCTGCAACAGCAGCATATGTCATTCAACGAAACAACACACTACAGTAGGCCACCACTACAAGGACAGGACAATGTTCCGTCATATGTCAACGTGTTGAACTCAGTTTCTGGTGAGACTCCTCAAGTTGACAGCATAAGCCGACCTCTGGATATGTTTGTAGATCTAAAAGTAAAATCTAAAATTTTTGCTGATGAGTTCATTGATTTCGGGCTGTTGATTAAGCGTTCCCCTCAGGAAAAAGAACCCCTGAGGGTTGAAATGCAAGGCCAGCAATTAGTGCTGTGCCAAAACAACAAACCAGCTCATATCAAGTCAATTGAACAATGGCTCTCAGCTTTTCACATCTTTGTAGCCATTTACATTCAGGCACATCCTCAGGCCACTCCAGGCCTTATGAAATATGCCGACGTTATACAAACGATACACCGGAGGTCGGGTTTTGCTGCAGCTATCCACTATGATAACAACTTCCGTATGTGGCACCAATTAGTGCCCACTGCCCCATGGCACATAACTCATTCCGAGTTCTACATGGAGGCAACAGCTATTGGGCTAAAAGCACTTTGCCCACAACAGCCCTTTCAGGGTCAGAAACCCAACACACGAATTAAGAAAGTGTGTTGGGCATATGATAAGCACGGAAGATGCTCCAAAGGTGCCCGATGCAAATTCTTGCATGGCTGCAGTATCTGTGGAGGGAAGCATCAGCAGCGCAATTGTTACAATGCAGCCCAGTCTGGGTCACGATCCGAAACCCAGCAAAACTCGGGCTCGGTCAACACCCAACCATCCCAACAAACTAACCAATCCAATAGCAGACAACAACGTAAAGCCCCTCAAAAATGAGCCTTTACCTACCCCTATTGTTATTGACAGGTTCTTAACTTACCTACGGGGTTATGACAAATCAAAACTAAATTTTCTTCAAGATGGTTTTAAACAAGGTTTTAGGTTGCAATATGAAGGGCCTCGCATATTTCGTGATTCCAGAAATCTTAAGTCTGCTTTAGATAACATGCAAATTCTAAAAGATAAGATTCAAAAGGAGATTTATCATGGGCGTTGTTTTGGACCTTACCATACACCACCTTTTACTAATTTGCAAATCTCTCCACTTGGTTTAGTTCCCAAAAAAGAACCTAATGAGTTCAGAGTTATACATCACCTGTCCTTTCCAGAAGGTTCCTCTATCAATGATGGCATCGCCCCGGAAAATTCCACGGTTGTTTATCAGACTATCGATCAAGCAATTCAATTAATTAAACATTATGGTCCAAATTCATTTCTGGCAAAGACTGATATTGAATCAGCATTTCGTTTAATTCCGATTCATCCGGATGACTACGAACTCTTGGGTTTTAAAATTGATGACAAATTTTATTTTGACCGTGTCCTGCCAATGGGTTGTTCTATTTCATGTCGTTTGTTTGAAGCATTCAGCTCAGCCATTCATTGGATTTTGGAACATAAATTTCAAGTTTCTGGAGTTGTGCATGTTTTGGATGATTTTTTATTCGTAGGCCCCCCTGACTCTCGCAAATGTTTGGATGATTTAAACAATTTCCTGTCTTTTTGTTCCGACACTTCTATTCCCATAAAGCAAAGTAAAACTGAACTACCCACAACAGTTCTGACTTTTCTTGGCATAGAGTTAGACAGTAAGGCTATGGTGGCCAGACTTCCATTGGATAAAGTTGAAAAAATGCGAGCGCTTCTGGATTCATTTTCCAGACGCCAAAAAGTCACCCTGAAAGAACTTCAGTCCCTTATAGGTTTGCTTAATTTTGCTTGTCGTGTTATTTCACCTGGGCGCACCTTTTTACGTCGTCTGATTGATCTTACCTGTGGTTTAACAAAACCCTATCACCATAAACGACTTAATAAGGAGGCTAGATGTGACTTAGCTGCATGGAAAATCTTTTTAGACTCGTTTAATGGGACATTTATGTTTCTGTCTGACCGTTGGGAAACTTCAGAACAATTACGGTTTTATACTGATGCAAGTAATTTAGGTTATGGCGGTTTCTTTCAAACGTCATGGATGTATGGCGAGTGGCCATTACACTGGCAATCTTTCCATATTACAGTTAAAGAATTCTTTGCTATAATAGTTGCATTAGAGCTCTGGGGTCCATCACTTACTAACAGATGTATCATCTTTTATTGTGACAACCATGCTGTTGTGGACATAATTAACAAACAAACCAGTAAAGATAAAACTCTAATGAAGTTAGTTAGGCGTTTTGTGGTCACAACCTTAAAACTCAATATTTTGTTTACCGCGCGTCACATCCCAGGCAAAAGTAACATCTTAAGTGACCATCTGTCTCGTTTGCAGGTGGACTCTTTTCACCAGCTGGCCCCTTACATGGACACAGATCCAACGCCAATACCAGTCCAACTCATGCAACTCTGACCGATACTATTCATTCGCTTTTGTTACATGCTACATCGCCGGCGACATCCCGTACTTACTCGAGAGCGTACAATCTGCTATGTCAATTCGTCAGATCTACTTTTATTGGTACACCGGTTTTGCCTACCACCTACAATACTTTGGCCTTTTTTATCGCTCATTTGTACAGGCAAAATTTGGCATCATCTACCATTTCCACATATGTTGCAGCCATTAGTTACATTAACAAAATCGCTGGTTATGCTGACCCTTCCCAATCATTCCTGATAAAGAAATTGCTCAGTTCGGTTCAGCGAGGTAATTACCAGGTAGACAATCGTTTACCTATAACACCAGAGATACTTACAAAGCTAGTAACGTCTTTGCAGTATACCACGCAATCCCCTTACCAATATCATCTTTTGAAAGCCATGTACTTGTTGGCTTTCCATGCCTTTTTAAGGGTTGGGGAAATGACCCTCAATAAAGCTGTTTCCAATGTTTTACAGTTTGAGGATCTGCAGTTAATCAAGGATTCCTCCGGGTTCTTGTGTCGCTTAGAATTAACGTTTCGTTCTTTCAAAGGACATTATAATATTCGACCTATTACTTTGTCCATCGCTGCCTCTAGACAACCTGCGGTCACCTGCCCAGTGTCGGCCCTGCAACAATATTTACAAAATAGGGGTCAGCAACCAGGCCCATTATTTTGTTTTCCTCCTGCTAAGGCTGTGCCATATGCATACTTCAGCGAATGTCTGAAACATTCTCTTAGTTGGGCTGGCCTTTCCCATCATCGTTTCACAACTCACAGTTTCCGTATTGGTGCTGCTAGCTCGGCAGCCTCACGGGGCATTCCTGACGATGAGATACAACAAATGGGTAGGTGGCAGTCGATGGCATTTAAAAGATACATTCGTTTGCCATCTCTTTTTGACACGTAAGGCATGCACAGTCAAACAAAAAATTCAATGGCCTTTGGTCATTGGGGCGACTGGTCAGGAATTGTGCAATTTCATCCAATACATTTAAGACATAAGTTTATCTCATAAAGTTTGGAGTACTTCCACTATATACATGAGTGTTAGAATTGTCACATGTAAAAAGTATGGCCTTTGGACATTGGGTCGATTGGTCATGCAACTACATGCCGCTTGACAACTGAGTGATACCTATATGTCTTCTTTATAACAGGATAAAGTATTTTACTTTCGTCAGTACTTCATATATTTACTGCATCAATACCTTGAGGAGTCTCACCAACTCATTTAATTGTATTAAGCTTACAAAATTCGCTAACCAAGAACTGACAATTTTTGTTCAAAATTTAATAATTACATTAATTTCAACTTTCTTAAGACTGTGCACCTCTTCAGGTGATTTTCTTCCACTTACCAACATTCCATGGAGGATTACTTTTGTACAACGCCTAGGATGGCATTTGACATTTCATGTACATGTATAAATCAATTGTAGTGTTTTCACTTCTTTTCTGCGAGGCTTCTGGGCATCTTAGCCAGTTAGCTACATGTATTTCTTCTTGGACTGAAGAAAGATCACAGACTTCCACAGAGGACTTATCGTTCACAATGGTTATATATGGACATTGACAATTCAGTGAATTATATTGTTTGATATACAGTGCATAGATTTGTGCTTGATCATCTCAGTACATGTACCTGTACATTCTTGAATTTTCAGGAACTTTCTGTGTGTTGTTATAAATATAAGCCGAACTTTCTGGATGACTGATGTTAATCGGTTTTGTATATTTCATATGTAATGCATATAACTTTCATTTTCATATGCATCATCTAGTATATATTTGTTACATGTAGATACGAGTATGTCGTATCATTGACTTAAATTTGGTAAATTCAAATTTAACTGTATAGTGCTTGTATGTATATACGTTATCTCCATGGCTGCGGATGGGGGAGTGATTACAATCCCAAGGGTTTGTAATCTCTGTGGCGTTTTCTTACCCCATCTAAGACTTTTAAGTACATTGGACAAAAACTTTAAAAGATAAAGTTTTTATATAAACATGTCGTTTTTAATAAAAACGGCCATTTTCAATTCATTTGAAGTGTTCTAGTTGTTTATGCACTTAACATGTCTTACAAGCTTGCCATGGTGATATTTACTTGGAATCAGGCATAAATACAAATTAAACCTGGTTTAATGTAATTTATGAATGTCCTAGTAATACTTTGTTTTTTATTATGTTTCAATATCATGAATGTTAAAGTACTGTATTTGTTGTATCTATGATTGATATGAGCGGACGCTGACCATTAGTAGGAGGTGAGAAGGTCAAAAGTCGTATGAATTTGTGGCTATTTTTAGCACCCTATATAAGTATGTGCACTAGCTGACCCTAGGTCACTAGCCTGCTGAAGATGATGGAGGAACAAGGTGTGTACCTTCTTTTTACATCATGATCTAATTTTGAAAAATATCTAAGTGAATTTTATTACCCACCACCTCCCCTTCTTGCCTCCTTCTCAATATGATTATTACTTCTTAAAGGGGCGTTTTCTTACCCCATCTAAGACTTTTAAGTACATTGGACAAAAACTTTAAAAGATAAAGTTTTTATATAAACATGTCGTTTTTAATAAAAACGGCCATTTTCAATTCATTTGAAGTGTTCTAGTTGTTTATGCACTTAACATGTCTTACAAGCTTGCCATGGTGATATTTACTTGGAATCAGGCATAAAATAGCTTTAAAATACCTTCGTGCTGAGAGTTTGTTTATTTATTGTTACTGAAAATGTCCATAAATAATTTTGTAATCTCACTTTTTATTAAATCATTAATTGCTTTAGTGATTTCTACCTGTTCGTCCTATAGGTCTGTCAATAAAATTACTTTCTTCATCTGTTAATTTGTTTTCTATACATTTAGTTAATTATTCTGCTTTCTCAATATCCCATCCCTCTGTCTTGATTTTTTTTTATAGATTTTTGTTTGCTCATGAAGTATATCATTAATCCCAGTTTTATAGATTCCTTCCTCATTTTTAATTCTGAACCATTGTGTATTTTCTGCTTTTTTCTTTTCTAAGCAAAAACATAATTTGTCGAATGTTCATTAGATTTACAACAGATAAGCGTTTTAAATACGCGTGTCAGTCACGGTTCGCCTTTATACGGGTTTGGGTTTATCTGTTAAACTAATCGTATATCAATAAAAATAATATCATAGCGTTACTGATAAACAATTATCCTGCTATTGTATTTTTTTTTAAATTGGTTTTGGGTGCCGTTATTTATCACTATAGTTGCACGTCAGCCATGTTTAATCTGTTAATTAGTGTTATATTTAGCTGTCTCGTAAACGATTTAAAAAAACCGAGGTCAAGACACTGAATAACACATACATGTATAGATATGAATCAATTACCATTTGTAAATGTTTCTGCTGACAAGTATGAGCATCTCCCTTCCCCGAGTACGAGATTTCAAAGGCGTTTGCTGAAAAAAATATACTTTTCGTACTTCCACGAACATATATTAGACATATACAAGTCCGTGGTATTTCATGGCTCGCATCTAAAATTACATAAAGGTCCTTGATAAATGAAGGCGTAGTTCATTTGTATTACATCAAACATATATTCAAACTATATATGTTCCAGTAGATCCATGTATGTCGTTGAAGAAAACAGCCATCACATTTTTAGGGGCCGGGGTGAACGAGTAGGATGTTGGACCGGGAGAGGCCGGAACGACCTTATTTGTTTTTATAGAATATGAGCTGCTCTAAGAAAGTGTTTTGAACACAATAGGAACATTTCGTAGGTATTTCCCACTTTCAACAAACTGTACGCATTGTTTCTAAACACTGATAAGTTCAAGGGAAATGCGTGGAAATGAGACACTATCTGCATGCGTGTTCCGACATCCATACACAACACGTGTTTTATTCCTCCTCGATACGAGCTCCTTCCACAACACTTCAGTGTTAAAATAAACGTCTATGGGTGTGTAAACTTGTCGTTTTTAAACATCTATAATCACAATAAAAAGAAGATGAAAACTTTGTTAATCACATGCAAGCCGCATATATCACGGTACATATCGCTCTTCTTTAGTAAAATATAATAGGGTTGAGTTGACCGCGTTGAACTTGTGATGTCACAGGTCTGGGACAACGAAACGGTGTCGTTGCTGTAGGGCCACAGGTGAGATTTCAAGAAATATCGTGATTTCTCTGAAACGAAAGTCGCTATATTCGAAAAGTGTCATGGCGACTGTTGCGCACGTGGGTCCGATATGACTCTCGTTCAACCAGACGCTTGATCACTTGTAATTCTCTATTCGGCGTAGCTTGCGCAGGCAACAAGAGTCTGGTTGAACGAGACTAGCATAGCCGACGTGCCAATTACTGAATGTACAAGGTACAATAAAATGTTATCATTCAACACCTTGAAATAAATACCTGCTGACTCAAAATTCTATATAAGTATAGGGCATAGATTCCTTGCTCCGTAAAATTGATTAAAGACATATTTTCTGTGTGATCAATGTAAATATTGTCATGGCGGCCATGCGTGCAAAGTACACGTGAAACGTCTAAATCCTCACTTTTCCATCGCTTTGAAAAATGCATTCTCACAGTATTCATTTACAGACATGACATATGGTTGTGCTTACTTACGGTCTGAAAAGATCTTTTCTTAGGCGTAAAATGCGAGGTGTTGAAAGTAGATGCTCAGGGGGCTTGTGAAAACTTCTATGATAATAAATTAGCTTGAAATACCTATATATAAAGTCTTTATATATAGGTATTTAAAGCTAATTTTATCATACAAGTCTATACAAACCCCTGTGGTCGATGTCAGCTCTCTTCAGCAGCAGCAGCAGCAGAAAAAGTGAATCTCCGAAGAAAACCGAAGAAGTCCGAAGAAATTTTACGATTATTTTGGAAGTTCTTGCTCTTTTTTTTTTTTCTAATGTCCAAAGATTTTTTAAAATTTAGTTATGCATCGATATTGACAAATGAAAATGATATTCAAATAATAATTAAATGTTTCAAATCCACAATGACAATGTTGGTTTGATCGAGTTGCGACTCGACAGTGCAAAGTTTACCTCGCCATTCAAGGCATAAATATGTATCACAAGTGATTCAAAGTGTGGAGGATTATGTGATGTTGAATATAAAATTATATTGAGATGACTGTTTTGATGATTGATATACCATTCCTTATTTTTTATAAACAAAAATCAACAATTTGAATTTCCCGGTAAATCAGCACTATGGACTTCGAAGTCAGTCATCCTATAATCCAGTCGCCCGCCATATTGTCACGTATCGGAGAATTAATGGAAACAAGAGCCATGTCAGTTCATGTTTGATGTGTGTGTCAATCTGAAAAGTGTGTCAGAAATGCGTGATTTTTTTGATAGGGTAAGCTTCTTGTTATTTATTTATTGTTTGTCTCGCAGCAATTGTATGTATGCAGAAAACCATTTTGAGTAATGGCGGCAATACCTTTATGACAGACCGTTTACACATTTCAACACTAGGTGGTGTTAGTAACTTGTTGAAAGATTTAGACCAATCAGAATGCTAGGATTGTAGCTGTACACAGGCTTAAGAGGCGTTGACAATAGGCTGCAACGTAACTGCGTTTAGCCTAAAAACTTCAGCAGGACAAAGAAATGCTGAAAAAGGCTTTCTTAATTGCCGGGATTGAAATTGTACACATTTCTTTCTTCTGCTCAAGTTTATATGTGCAAACGTACTTATTAATGTTAATGAAATTATCTATTGTGTATGACTGATTTTTAATTTCAATGGATCTGTTATTTTTTCTATATAGTGTACTTCTTTCAAAACGAGGTTTTGACCTAGTAGCCTCAGCTCAACTGATATCACGTGTGAAAGTCAAAATACTCACGAGGGTTTAAATTTTAACGCATTTGCGAAATTCGCGAAACTAAAACCCTCGTGAATATTACCAACTATACAGTTTTATAATCGAACAAGAAACCAAACCGCTATACAAGTATACTAGAATAAACCACCATCTGTTACTAGAAACACAAAATGAATATGTTTATCAAATCCGTTCACGGTTATAGAATTGCTCAGAACCGGAGATTTGTCCTGAAATTTAATGTCCCCACAGGAACACTTTGTTTGAATTAACAAACAGTTTTATGTAGTTTGGGGACGTTCGTGAAACTAGGTTTATTTTTGCAATATCGTACATTATACATATAAAGAATATTGTATATTCAGAAGCAACGCACCTGCTGGGGAATTGTCATAAAATCAAGCTGTCACAGGGCTTTTCCATTGACAAAGGAAGCTAGAATCCACGATAGACAACGGCCAGTCTGTGCATGATGGCGAACAAGTAAGTATATTCATCCAAGTACGCTTCTTTGTAAACATTTGATCTTTTCCCTTCTTCGCCCTCCATGATCTTTTCAATTGTATAAAACCCGCGTCATCTTCCTTGGTCTTTCTACGTTACAGCTCGTTCCTGGAAATGCTAATCAGTGGAAAAGATGGCAACACAGATGAAATGTTTCTTATAAATGGCTACGCTATAAATACCAGTCGTCCGTCTATTTTGAAAAATACATCGAACCTGTGATAAAAAAAATAACGCTTTGTTAGAAGACATCCATCGTCCCTATGAAGAGATGAAAAAATCGCAATATAAAGTGTGATAATTGGAACAGAAGCTATTTTGGTGTCTAGAACTGGAATATGGACAAAACTTTCTTCCAAAACTGCAAAAGAAAGGTCAGCAGGGGAGGTTGGGTGGGAGTAGCGCGGTGGGCATGTCACGTTTCAAAATTATCAAGACCAAATGTTTATCTACAAAAAATCCTCATATATATAGGAAAATATTATTTTATTTGTTTTACACAATGAAGTTTATTTTGAACAGTACATAACATGCAATGGGGTCCTCTATATAAAAAAAGAGTGCTGTTATGCACATATGTGTAAATGTTTATATAAAATTTGATTATTACCTTACTGGTTTACTTCTCAACTGAACTTCTGCCTTGAAAACTGTAAGTCACTGTGTGAATTACTCCAATCCAAATACACATACTGATATGCTTTCTTTATAGACGAGAGAATTGACGCCAAAGATGAACGTTCGACACAGTGTATTCAAATAGCAGATTTCGGAACGGCCGACGGAAGAGCTTCACTCTCGCTGATCAAAGAACTGATTGGTGAAAAGTTATTAATAACAGTCTCAGTGTAAAAAATGCTATAGGACCAGACCAACGTTAGGACCCCGCACCTCAAATCATTATACCGCCGCTCTAACCATTTGACTTACCTGGTCCCAGTTAACTAGTTACGACTTTCCAGATATCGATTTTTTAGTAGTATCAATGTACATGCCAAATTGTGAGATTTTACCTTGTATATTGACGGAATTATTGAGGTTGCAAAATGTTGTTAAACGTTGATTAAGCTAACAACATTTTGAACAACTGGGCCCTGGTCAACGGTACTAACACGGCGAAGTCGCTCTATAGTTAAATTCAAAAAGAAGTTAAGGGGAGGTTACTGTTAATGCAAAACCACAGCGATCTCTCTAGTGTTATGCCAGATTTTTCTCTTTAGAAATAAAGACGTTGTTTATATATACATCGGTCTGAAAACTTTCATTGTAATTTCATAATCTATTTAAGGGAATAACTGATAACAGAATTGTGTATTG